CACTAAAAGAGGGATATAAGAGCCAGACATGGTGGTGCACCCCTGTAATCCCAGCAGCTTGGGAGACTGAAGCAGGAGGGTCCGGAGTTCAAAGCCAGCCTCAGCAACTTGGCAAGGCCCTAAACAATTCAGCAAAACCCTGTCTCTAAATAAAATATTTAAAAAGGGCTGCGGATGTTGCTCAGTGGTTAAGCACCCCTGGATTGAATCCCTGGTACCTAAATAAATAAATAAAATAAAAGAAGGATATAAGGAAAGAAGGAGGAAGATGGGAACTGAGGAAATGGAAGGCAGTAATACAATAATTTTCCAGGAAAGAATGAAAGGAATTTTCCAGGGAGAAAATTGTAGAGCAAGTCCATGGAACAACCACTGCATACAGCAGAAGATGTGGGAGATCCAGAAAGTCTGTTACAAGGCGGGGAGGGGGGAAATGAAACTTGAAAATCATCTGATGAGCTTCACCATCTTGAAGGAAATTTTATAGTTCCGTCAGAAAGTTTGGGAAAGAAGTGGTATCAAATATATAGACAACTAAGCTAAAATATAAGGCATTTGTTAAGGTATGACTGAGTCCTGTCCTGAGTTCAATAAAAAATAAACCATAGTACCTATATAGCTCAGCTGTAAATTATATTCACATAGTCAGATTAATGAAAGTACTGAAAATTGACTTCACAAAAATTGTGATAGAATTTCTGTCTTGGGAGAATGGAGGGAAGAGAATATATTCATGGTGGGAGGAGAAGTATGGGGATGATCAAAGAGACCTAAGTGCTCTTCCTTCATATAAGTGAGTAGACTGAGAATGAGAAAGCAAGTTTCAGAAATATAAGCATGTTTTATTTTATTTTATTTATTTATTATAAGCATTTTTTTAAAAAGAAGCTGCTGAAAGAGGCCAAGTGGTTGCTTCCGGGGAGTGGTAATTGGGGGGCAGGATGAGGGAAGCAGGGGAGTCATTTCTTAAAACAGTTTTGTCAAACTATTAAAATGTTATACTATATGCTGACATTAGTTAAAAATAAAACTAAATTTGAAAAATAAATGCATCACTCAACCATTTAAGACAATAAAAATCAATCAAACAAAAATGAAATAGTCCAGAAATCCTACCACAGGAGCTGATGTAGGTGATCAAAATTCCCTGTAGACGGTTCTCTTTCTATCCTATTCACAGGCTCACCTTCTCCACCTCCCTCTTCTTCCCCTCTCCAGTTCCTTGCCCTTGATCCCAAGAGATCCCACCATCAAAAGCATACCTAAATACCTCTCTCAGCACCTCTAGGGACTACAACAAAAATCAGACTTGGGTCTCTGCTTTCCAGTTATAGGAAATCTGTTTGAGAGTCTTACATATAAGCAACACAGAATAATGTAAGTTAATCACGACTAAATACTCAATTATGTGGTACAGACTACATGGAGTTCAGAGCCATGCCATCTCAGAGAGAATGTGACTGCAGCTGTCAGAGACAAAGTAGAAAGTGGTGAGGGAGAGCCTGGACACACGGTGGGATGTCATTGCAGAGCTTGGTAGGTCTTGTCAGGGTTTGCAGTTTTAAAAGATCCTATCTCACCAGGTGCCTTGGTGCACATCTGTAACCCCAGCAGCTTCGCAGGCTGAGGAAGGAAAATGGGGAGTTCAAAGCCAGCCTCAGCAACAGCAAGGCACTGAGCAATTCAATGAGACCCTGTCTCTAAATAAAACCCAAATTAGGGCTGGGGATGTGGTTCAGTGGTCGAGTGCCCCTGGGTTCAATCCCCATACAAAAAAAAAAAAAAATCCTATCTCTCCAGGCATAGTGGCCTACTCCTGTAATCCCAGTAATTTAGAAGGCTGAGGAAGAAGTATTGCAGCTAGTTTGAGGCCAGCCTCAGCAATTTAGCGAGGCCCTAAATGACTGTTTGACCCTGTCTCAAAACAAAACATATAAAGGGCTGGGGATGTGACTCAGTGGTTAAGCACCCCTAGGTTCAACCCCTAGTATCCTTCCCCCAAAAAAATCCTATCTAGAGAGTAACATAATTTTAAGAAGATTACTTTGATCATTGGCTGAAGAATAAATGGGAGAGAGGCAAAACCCAATAGAGATTAGCTAAGAAGTTATGAAGTGGTTCAGATGAGAGATTATGGTGGCTCAGATCAGGATGGCAGCTGTGAAACATGGATTATTACAGACACATTATACGAGTCGAATCAATTAGGTTTGTTGATGTCTTCCTTATGTAAAGGATGAT